TGTGCCATCCTCACAATCATTGTTATGCTTGAGCCCGTTGTTGCAGCCATTGTGTCAATCCATCTCATTGAGGATCTTCCTCTTTTTTGCTGACCCTCTACTTTACCAAGCATGATGTCCTTCTCTAGGGACTGGTCCCTCCTGATAACATGTCCAAAGTATGTGAGACGAAGTCTTGCTGTCGTTGCTTCTAAGGAGCATTCTGGTTGTACTTCTTCCAAGACAAATTTGTTCATTCTTCTGGCAGTCCACGGTATATTCAATATTCTTTGCCAACACCATGATTCAAAGGCATCAATTCTTCGGTCTTCCTTATTCATTATCCAGTTTTCACATGCATATGAGGTGATTGAAAATACCATGGCGGGGGTCAGGCGAACCTTAGTCCTTAAAGTGACATCTTAGCTTTTTAACTCTTTAAAGAGGTCTTTTGCAGCAGATTTGTCTAATGCAATGCATCTTTTGATTTCTTGACTGCTGCTTCCATGGGCATTGCTTGTGGATCCAAATAAAATGAAATCCTTGACAACTTCAGAATTTTCTGTCTGTATCATGATGTTGCTTATTGGTTTAGTTGTGAGGATTTTTTGTTTTATGTTGAGGTGTAATCCATACTGAAGGCTGTGGTCTTTAATCTTCATCAGTAAGTGCTTCAACTCCTCTTCACTTTCAGCAAGCAAGGTTGTGTCATCTGCATATTGCAGGTTGTTAGAATCTTCCTCCAATTCTGATGCCATGTTCTTCTTCATACAGTCCAGCTTTTTGAATTATTTGCTCAGCATACAGATTGAATAAGTATGGTGAAAGGATACAACTCTGACACACACCTTTCTTTACTTTAAAGCAGGCGGTATCCGCTTGTTCTTTTCGAATGACTGCCTCTTGACCGGAAACACTGGTGGCATAGTGGTTAAGTGCTATGACTGCTAACCAAAAGGTTGGCAGTTAAAATCCACCAGGTGCTTCTTGGAAATTCTATGGGGCAGTTCTACTCTGTCGTATAGAGTCACTATCAGTCAGAATCAACTCGACGGCAAAGGGTTTGATTTTTTTTTGGCGGGGGGGGGGGCCTCTTGATCTATGTACAGGATCCTCATGAGCACAATTAAGTGTTCTGGAATTCCCATTCTTTGAAATGTTACTCATAATTTGTTATGATCCACACAGTTAAATGCCTTTGCATAGTCAATAAAACACAGGTAAACATCTTTCTGGTATTCTCTGCTTTCAGCCATGATCCATCTGACACCAGCAATGATATTCCTGGTTCCACGTCCTCTTCTGAATCTGGCTTGAATTTCTGGCAGTTCTCTATTGATACACTGTTGCAGCCACTTTTGAATGATCTTCAACAAAATTTTATTTGCATGTGATATTAATGATATTGTTAGATAACTTCCGAATTCTGTTGGATCACCTTTCTTTGGAATGGGTACAAATACAGATCTCTTTCAGTCAGTTGGCCAGGTAGCTGTCTTCTAAATTTCTTGGAATAGACAAATGAGTGCTTCCAGCACTGCATCCATTTGTTGAAACATCTCAATCGGTATTCCAGCAGTTCCTGGAGGCTTGTTTTTCACCAGTGCCTTCAGTGTGGCTTCAACCTCTTCCTTCGGTACCATTGGTTCTTGATCATATGCTACCTCCTTAAATGGTTGAACGTCGACCGATTCTTTTTGATCTAGTGATTCTGTGTATTCCTTCCATCTTCTTTTGATGCTTCCTGCGTTGTTTAATATTTTTCCTGTAGAATCCTCCAATACTGCAATTCGAGGCTTACATTTTTTCTTCAGTTCTTTCCTCATTATATAGCAGCAGAAAATTTCATAACATGCTGCCTGTGGTAATGTGGACAGTAGAAAATATACCCAATGAACTGGGTATTCTAGCTAAAGAGATTTCCAGGCAGAGTGTTGGAAGGTTACTTCTTGCTATTTACACTAAAATATCAGAGGAGAGAGATAAGCTAAAGTGGGGGTTGGGGGGGGGAACAAACCCATTGCCATTGAGTCCATTTTGACTCATAGTGATCCTATAGGACAGAGTAGAACTGCCCCAAAGGGTTTCCAAGGCTGGAAGCGGACTGCCACATCTTTCTCCCAAGGAGCGGCTGGTGGGTTTGAACTGCCAACCTTCGGTTAGCAGCCGAGTGCTTAACCACTGTGCCACCAAGTCTCCTTAAGCTAAAGGAAGAACTGATAAACAAAAAGGAAACAGGACTTGAAGTACTGGGTTTTAAATTCCCAGCCTCTCCAGATGGCAAACAGAGTTTAAGAAATATGTTCTGGTCAAAGGTTACATCAAGAGCACTCTCAAGAAAACATGGTCTAAAGATGAAGCCAAGGGTGTTACTGCAAAATCCTTTTCTAAGAACTCAGATCGAAGGCTGTTTCAGAGAACCATTCATTCAAACCATATGGCTTCTGAGAAGCTTAAGGGTACTGTCCCTCAAAAGTCTCAGCAGAAGCCCAAGGTAGAGAAGGGCTTATGTCAAAGAAATTTGTGGGTGTGGCTTTTGTCAAATAGAGTGAACCCCAATAAAAACACTGCCAGCTTGGACTGCAAGTAAAAACTACACAAGTAAAAGAGGCCTTTAGACCCCCAAGCTTCTACAGGCAGGAAGCAGGCTGATAAAACTATACCTTTCATTGCTCAGAGGGCAGAACTAAGAGCCTAGAGTACAGAGCCAAGAGTCACAGGAGAATCATTTCTGGCAAGAGTAGGACCAAGTCCTAATCAAGAAACTTCCAATATTTTCCCAGCTAGATTTCAAAATTGCTATGGGCCAGTGACTCTTATTTGTCTCCTGTTTTTCCCCCTTTTCAACAGGAGTGTCTGTAGAAGTTATCCCAGGTCTATCCCACGAATGTACGTTGGCTGTGTGGAGGACAGGTAACTTGTTGCTTTAGTCCACAGGTCTTCAGATCAATAGAAACTGTACTCAAGGAGCTGAAAAGAAGGAACTACACCCTATGAGTCTTATGTGCACCAGGACCTGATTTAGATAATGAGATTCTTGACTTTGAGCTGATGCTTTAATGGGATAAGAATTTTAAGGATCTCAGAAGTGGGTGAGGGTATTTTACATGTAGGAGGGATGTGAACCATTTGGGATTAGAGGGCAACCTGTAATAGCCAGCCTCCAAATGACTGCCAATAATTCTTCCCTCCTGACATTCAGACTCATAAGTAGTTTCTTCTCACATTGGATAGGGCTGGCCTGTGTAACAAACAAGGATATGGTAGAAATAATGGAGTTTGACTTCTGAGGCTATATCATAAAAGACATCGCACCTTCTGTCTTGTTCTCTTAGATCACTTTGTTCTGGAGAGGCCAGCTGCCATTTTGTGAGGACACTCAAGCAGTCCTATGGAGAGGTCCACGTAATGACGAATTGAGACCTCCTGTCAACAGCCACGTGAGTAAGCCATCTTGAAAGCACATTCTGTTAGCTCTAGTCAAGCCTTCAGATGAATGCAGCCCTGGCCCACAGTTTGACTACAATCTCATGAAAGACCCTGAGTCTGGGTCAGAGCTATCCCACAAAGCCACTTCCAAATTCTCGATCCACTGAAACTGTGTAAGATAGTACATGTTTATTGTTGTTTTAGGTTGCTGAAGTTCTGGGTTACTTTGTTAAACAACAATTAATAACTAATGCACATTATAAGTTAATTTTACATAAAATGACAAAAACTGTAAACAAATATTGAACTCTAGTCAATGGTATACATGCTAAAGTATTTAGAGGGAAGTGTACAGATGTCTGCAATTTACTCTGAAATGTATAAAAAATAAGATAGATTAATGGATGGATAGACAGATATGTAATAAAGCAACTACAGCAAAATGCTCATGATAGACTCTAGGTGGTGGATATTCAGGTATTCACCAAAAAATTCTTTTTATTTTTATTTTGCTGTTTGTATGCAAATATTCATAATAAAATGTTGTGGGAAAATGGCTGAGTAATTTCTTAACTTGAGTGGTGGGTACATGGGGGTTCATTTGATGATGATGATGATAAAGATGATGTAAACAGTCGAGATACATTTCATTTGCTCTCAGTTTGTATCTTTTACAACAATACTGCTTATTTTAGTGGCTGAGGAGAGTGACTAGGTGAAATGGGCCTGAGTGAGACCAAGGGACAGTATGGAGGTACCGAGAGACCTAGGGACCCAGAGGGGTCTGGAGCTGGGACAGACAGCAGAGAATTGGGCCTTGACACCAGAAATCAAGGTGAAATAAAGTTGTGTAACAAAGTACCCTAAAATTTAGAGCCCTAAAACAATCGAGCCCAGGAACAAAGTTGACCTGGTTACTCTGCCAGTGAGGCTGGTGAGGCAGGAAGTGGACAGTGACAGACAGGAAGCTCCTCCCCAAATGTTATGAAGTTTTCAAGGGGGGATGGGAAGGGAGAGAGACGGAAACCTTGAAGTCTGTGTGTGGCCCAAAGTGACCAGGCTATGAGTAGATAACCACTGAGATAATCCTTAAATTTCACTGAAAAAAATTAGATTAGATTAAATTCTCTCCCCTCTGGGGGAGTTACTTTCCTTGATAAACTTTGATCTGCTTCACACTTGTAAAATGGTAATAAACTATTTAAAAACCTTCCAGGGCTACCATGGGCAAGAGAGATTTCTGTTACAGATATTTCTACACATTTGAGTCAAACTGTATAAATTTAGATCCTGCTACACATTCATGTGTGTACACACATGCACACACTCACCACGGGGCTATTAATGTGTGTATACCGCCACAGCACAAAATCTGAAAGGATGTACACCAAAAAGTCAACGGGGGGACCAGGATGATAAGGATTGCAGCTGATTAACTTTTTTCTTACTTTCTGTTTATCCTAATTTTTTGTTGTTCACAATTGACTATGTCCTACTTTTAGAATAAGAGATAAATAAAAGCAAAAATCAAGAACCACCCTCAGAGCTGTAAATCCATCCCATAAGCCACAAACGGAAGTGCCAATGAATACCTTGCTTGATGATGGGAGACTTGTGGGCCTTATCCACCACAAACGAGAACATCTTCCCACCGGCACTCACAGGCCGCTTGTGGTAGCTGGGTTGGGCCGTGGTGGGCCTGGGGAACCCCTGGGACCAGCTCCTCTGCACTGGCACTGGCCGGATGCCCTGGTGGAAGGGGAACTGAGGCGGCGAGGGTGACTGGTTCGGCTGCTGTGTGGTCCAAGGTGGCTGTGGCCTTGGCCAGGGCGTTGGGCTTCTCACCCACGGGTAGGAGACCTGTAGCGGCAGACAGGGGCGTCAGGTGAGGTTACAATCAGCTGGGATGGTCTCCACCCCTTTGTTCCAGGCATATAATTGCTACCTAAAGTCTGAGCTTATGAGTCACCTCCCCCAGGAAGCCTTCCTGGATTCTCCCTAAGTTTGGGATGGTGGTCCCTGCCTTGGGCCACATAGCACCCTATCACACCACCATTTACTGAATGCATCCTTTATGCCAGGCACCCACATGCATTAACTCATTTAATACACCCAGCATTCCGGGAGGGGCTGAGGCTGAGCACGGTCTCTCCCAAGGTCACAGGTTTGGTTGTGAACTGCTGAGCTCATAGAAGGTCACTTTTAAGAGATTAGGGACATTTTGTCTATCTTGCTCACCACTGTATCCTCAGCAACTAGAATCAACACCTGGGACATACTAAAAACCAGTCGCCTCTAGTTCACTCGATGCATGGAGACTCCATGTGTGCCAGACTAGGACTGGGCTCCATAAGGTTTTCAGTGGTTGATTTTTTGGAAGCAGATCACCAGGCCTTTCTTCTGAGGTGCCTCTGGGTGGACCTATTGGTTACTAGCTCAGCATGTTAACGGTTAGCACCACCCAGGGACTTCTGACATATAATAATAATTTTTTAAAAAACCAAACCCGTTGCCATTGAGTCAATTCCAACTCATAGCAACACTACAGGTCAGAGTAGAACTGCCCCATAGGGCTTCCAAGGAGTGCCTGGTGAATTCCAATTGCCAACATTTTGGTTAGCAGCCGAGCTCTTAACCACTGCACCACCAGGGCTCCTAACACATAATACCAAAAAAACCAAATCCATTACCGTCGAGTCGATTTTGACTATAGGACAGAGTAGAACTGCCCCGTAGAGTTTACAAGGAGTGCCTGGGGGATTTGAACTGCTGACCTTTTGGTTAGCAACCGTAGCACTTAACCACTATGTCACCAAGGTTTCCTGACACATAATAGACCCTCAAATATTGATTGAAAGAATGAATGAGCAAACCAGTGCGATTCCTGAACAGCTCTGCAGAACTCTGCAGCCTGTTGTCTTTCCACCCCTGCTGTGTGTCTCTCTGGCACCTCTGCTCTGTCTGGACCCCCTCAGGCCAAGAGCTCGTGGGTGGCAGGATCCAGACTATCTCATTAAACTTTGACCCTCCGCACCCCCACACCTGATTCTTGGTAGATGCTCCCTAAAGATCTGTTGTGGGCACCTTCAATTGTCTGACCCTGGGGCAGATGTCTATCTGTAGCTACTTCCAATGGAGAACTCATCAAAATCCATCTAACTAGGGAGAAGCAAATGTTGAGAAGGGCTGATGTCTGGCTTTGATCTTGGTTTAATGCTTTGGCGGTGGTTTCTCATGGCTACTCCTTCTTGCCAAATGGTTAAATGATGACACTTATGAGCTCTGTCATTTATTGCACTGAATTTACCCAGTCCTCACAGTGACTTTTCAGGTGAGGAGGTCTCCTTGCTCCTACTTTACAAATGAGGCTTGGAGAGGCTTGGAATTTGCTCACGATCAAACTGGCAGTGGTGGAGATAGAATTGGGAGCAAAGTCTAAGATCTCTCTCTCTCCCCCTCCTCTCCCCTTCTCTCTCCTCTCTCCTCCCCTTCCTTCCTCTCTCCTCTCCTCTTCTCTCCTCCTTTCCTCTCCCTTCTCCTTTTCGCCTCTCCGGTTCCCTCTCCTCTCTCCTCCTCTCCCCTCCCCTCTTCTCTCTCTCCTCTCCTGTACTCTCTCCCCTCCCCTCTCCTTTCCTCTCTCCTCGCCGCTCCCCTCTCCTCTCCCCCCTCCTCTCCTCTCCTTTTCTCTCCTCTCCTCTTGTCTCTCCTCCTCTTCTCATCTTTCCCTGTTGCTTTCCCTCCCTCTCAATTCTCTTGCCAGAAATTTTGAAGTAAGAAGCTAAGTACACCTGTCAGCCCTGGGCTTGTTGCCTATGCAGGGCCACACATCTATTCTCCCTAGGCTCACGCTTCTCCTTCTGTAGACTGGAGAGTACATGAGCTCTGGGACTCACAATGAGGGACAAGACAGGATGCTTCCAAAATAGAAGCACCAGCAGACAGAGCTTTCTATAACCTCAGATGGATTTTATTCACTCAGGATCCTGAACCAACTTTTTGACGTCTTTCTGTAGCAAGTCAATGATCCTTTGCGTTCCCCTGGAATGACTCTTGCAGTCAGTGAGAACAGTGTTCAGGGAAATCAGATACCCGTGCTTCATCCACCTAGGACATCTGGCCCAGTTTTCTTGATAACATTGGCCCACTTTATATCTCTTACCAGGAATGGGAATTTGCAGAGTTTGGGGACTCTAACATGTACCTTAAGTGTAGTTTTGGATTTCTCTCCACTGTTAATATCTCAGTCTCTCCATGGATTCTTTCTTCCTTTCTTGAGTTTCAGAAGCTTAGGTGCCCCTCCTGCCCTGCACTAACATCTCCATCCATCCTGTCCTTGCTCCTCCTCTGGAGCTGTCTTAACTCAATCACTCCTATGACCTAGTCCCATTGGTTTAATATTTATTGAATGAATGGGCCAAAGGTGAGAAGGGTTAAATTCTTATTTTATTGTGATTTAGCTGAAAGTTTACAGAGCAAATTAGTTTCTCATTAAACAGTTAATACACAAATGTATTAACACTCTCCTCGTCCCCATCCCAGGTTCCCTGTTTCCATTCGTCCAGTTTTCCTGTCCTGTCCTGCCTTCTCGTCTTTGCTTTTGGGCTAGTGTGTCCACTAATCTCACATACATGATTGAACTATAAAGCATGTCCCTCACGTGTGTTATTGTTGGCCTAGAGACCTGTCTAATCTTTGGCTGAAGGCTGAACCTCAGGAGTCACTTCAGTATTGAATTAAAAGGGTGTCCAAGGGCCATACTCTTAGGCTTTCTCCAGTCTCATTAGACCAGCAAGACTGGTCTTTGTGTGTGAGTGAATTTGAATTTTGTTCTACATTTTTCTCTTGTTCTGTCCAGGACCCTCTATTGTGATCCCTGCCAGAAGAGAAGGGTTAAATTCTAATGCTTTTTACCCCAGGCTCCTAGAAAACAAATGTAGAGATTATTGGCAGTGGTGTAGGAATTCACTTTTGTTCTGGGACGCTTGGGGGGCGGGTGGGTACCTCTTAGGTAAATAAGTCTCATGGCCAGCAAATCGCAAATGTACTAAAAGGAGTGATCATGTCTCCTACCTTAAGTGCTCCATTTCTTTAGTGTACAATTGTGAACCCACTTAGCAATGCCTGAACTCACTTAGCAGTCTTTTGAATTTTATATCCCAATTTCCCTCTAGGCATCTCCTGCTATGATCTCAGCCAATCACATTCCCTGGCCAGAGTGATTGGTTTAGGGATGGGGCATGTGATCCAATCAAAGCCAAGGAGACCTAGAGAGCATTGGATAACCCCAGCCTGAGAAGAGGAAGGAGCAGGAGCTATCAGCATCCTCTCAAGACCTCATGGGACTTGAGAAGGTAGCCAACACCAAAGGAGTGGAGCTAAGACATGAAGAGAGAGAAGATGGTTGGGGCCCTGGCTTGGGTGGGACCCTAAACTGCTCAGTACTGAGAGGCAGGTTGGGGCTGGTTTCTGTCACTTGCAGCCCACAGAACCCTAGCTAATAAGGGTCATTGTTATGGACTGAATTGTGTTCCTCCAAAATGTGTCAACTTGGCTAGGCCATGATTCCCAGTATTGTGTGGTTGTCTACCACTCTGTGATCTGATGTGATTATCCTATGTGCTATAAATCCTAACCTCTGTGATGTTAATGAGGTTAGGATTAGAGGCAGTTAAACGTTAATGAAGTAGGACTCAGTCGATAGGATTAGGTTGTTATCTTGAGTCAATCTCTTCTGAGATATAAAAGAGAGAATCTAGCAGAGAGGAGAGGGCTCTCATTACCACCAAGAAAGAAGAGCCAGAAGCAGAGTGCATCCTTTGGACCCAGGGTCCCTGTGCTGAGAAGCTCCTAGACCAGGGGAAGATTGATAACAAGGACCTCCCCTCAGAACCAACAGAAAGAGAAAGACTTCCCCTAGAGCTGGCACCCTGACTTTGGACTTCTAGCCTCCTAGACTATGAGAGAATGAATTTCTGTTTGTTAAAGGCATCCACTTGTGGTATTTCTGTTATAGTAGCACTAGATAACTAAGAGACTCTCTTAAGAGAAGCATTCCAAAGATATGTAAACACAGCAAAGACTGCAATTGGCTTTTTGGGTTCAAAAATTAAAAATACAGGTTGTTTTTAAACTTGTTGATTCAGGTTGGTTGAATGCTTTTAGTTGGAAAGTTAAAGTTGGTTTTCTCTAGTTAGCAGATTTGCTCCCTCATAAGCAAGGTCAAGGTTTTCTCACAGATCGCTACTGGTAGCCACAAGGAAACAGGCAGAGGAAAAAACAAGAAAAAGATTCATCATAAAAGCTAGCTCCTGGCTGTGTTCAATTAGAATGTAAATGGAGCTTGAGGCCAAGGTCAGTTATCAACAAGCCTGTTTTTAGAAAATTTTAATTTAAAAATACGTGCTACAACCTGTACAAGGAAAGGTCATGGAGGCCCCATGGACA